CCCGCCTGTCCCGACCCGACCCGGCCCCCCTGTTAGGGTCCGCCCGACCCGACCCGACCGTTAGGGTTCTCGCGTGCTCTCTCGATTATGCACCACACTTTAACGTCCCGCCCGCCCGACCAGGCCCGCCCGTTAGGGTCCATCCGTCCCGACCCGACCCGACCCGACCCGCCCGTTCGGGTCCGCCCGACCCGACCCGACCCGACCGTTGGGGCTCTCGCGTGCTCTCTCGATTATGCACCACACTTTAATGTCCCGCCCGCCCGACCAGACCCGCCAGTTAGGGTCCGCCCGCCCGCCCCGACCCGCCCCGCCCGTTAGGGTCCGCCGACCCGACCCGACCCGACCGTTAAGGCTCTCGCGCGCCCTCTCGATTCTGCGCCACACTTTAACGTCCCGCCCGCCCGTCCCGGCCGGCCCCTTTAGGGTCCGCCCGACCCGACCCGACCCGACCCGCCCATTAGGGTCCGCCCGCCCCGACCCGACCCGACCCGCCAGTTAGGGTCCGCTCGACCCGACCCGACCTGGCCGTCAGGGTTCTGCGAGAAAGCGTGAGCAAGGGGCCCCTGGAACGAGGGGGAGGAAGCGGAGGACGACGACGAGGACGAGGGGGAGGGGAAGAACGAGGAGGAGGGCGACGAGGAGGAGGAGGAGGAGGAAGAGCACGAGGAGGAGGAGGACGACGACGATACGATACGATACGACTCAGCCTGAATGGAGGTGTAACTCCCGCTGGATGGCAGAACTACCTGGGCAAGTGAAAGAGACAGCAGCGATGGAAGAGAGGCGGGCGTGGGCGCGCCTGAGCGCGATCATCGTCGTGACGACCGTCCGAGCCTCCTCTTCAACCAGGCTGTGCGGCTGTCCTGCCACATCTCTGGGTCGGAGGCTAATACCTGATAATCTTGACTGATCAGAAACTTAAATTGGTCCTCAAATCTCCAAGGTTTGAAAATTCGGCCGTGGCACTGGGAGCCAAAACGTGTTTTAACGTCCGCCAGATAGCGCTGACCCCTCCACAGCAGGGCCAGGAGTGCAAGCCTGTCAGGGGCATACTTCTGGAACCTACACACGTGGCCACACCAGTCGAAAACACGGCACAAACAGACTATATCCCATCTCTGGAGACCTAACTTGTCTAGATAGTGGGCCCTCAGACGGTTGACATACGCCAGATGGCCCCCCAAGAAGTCCTCCTCGAAATCCTCGAACTCGTCCAGCTTATCTGGGTCCACGTGGCCTGTCTCAGGAACCTCGGGGGCCTTCATCTGGTCATTGTTCGTCATCATCGTCGTCGTCGTAGTCGGGGGCGGGCGGGTCGTTTTCGGGGGTGGGGGGGGCAGCTTGCGTTTAATAACACGTCTTTCCATAGCAATCTGGACGGCCCGAATTTTTCGAAGATGGTCCTGAGTAAGATGCCGGGCCCCGATGTTGTAGGTCAGGGCGGGGAGGACAACTTTGTGCAGCAATCTCAACCTATTGGAGATGGTGCCACACTTCGTGGTCAGCAGCTTCTTATGGCGAGCAAAAGCACTCCAGGCGGCACGTATGCGCCTGTCCACTTCGACCGAAGCATTGTTATCGAAGGTAATCTGATGGCCCAGGACCTTTATCCCCTGCTCTCTCGGAGTGAAAGGGATGTGAAAGACGGGGAGGGCGATATCCTCGGTTTTCTTCTGGCGCTTGGTGGGCCGAGGGGCCACGGCGGACCTCTGGGGCTGGGCTGGGCCCAGACATCATGCACGGCCAGTCGTGATTGGTGATCCTCAGACGCTGTCCACTGCATATCATTCAAGTCCACCCACCAGCCTGCTAGCCGTACTAGATTATTCCAAGCATCAGTCATGAGGGTCACCATCGACGGCGTGAGACCTAGCAGCCAAAAGTTGTCGGCGAAGATGAGTAGCGGGACTCTTCGAATCTGCTGCGAATCCTCGCCCCTCCTGGTGTGCGCATAATACTCGAAGCCCAGCGGGCGTGCGTCTTCAAAATCCATAGGGTAGCCCCAGCCCTTGGACTTGCAAATGGAGAGGAAGGGACGAATGAGAGTATGTTCCATAATGATGTTACACTTGCGAGGGCCGTCTGGATCGCCCTGATATATCGATCGAGTCCGAGATATCGGCTGCGACGGAGGCAGGCGAGGAAGCACGAGACGGCCTCGTCCGCGTCTAACTTCGCGGATCATGGCGGCGGTAATGACATCGGGCACCGAGACGCGCTTGAAAGCGTGGCACCAGACACCACGGTCAACACAGTCATAACATTTATATATCCCCAGAAACAATATGCAATGGTATCCGAAATTCGATAGCTTTCTCAACCAGGAGGCGAATAATAAAAATGACCTCGGCCGTCTGGCGCGCAGGGCGAAAGGCAAACTGGTTCGGCGACAGTGGCCGATCTGCAATGCGGCCTAGCTCGGACAGCATCTGCATATAAGCCTTCCATAGCACCGAGAGGACTGCAATGGGGCGCCATTTCTTAATGTGCAATGGATTGGTCATTTTCTCGATAAGATGAACATCGTGCTCGTCCCAGCCACAGGGCTCGTCCATCGATGGGTCATTCAGGAGTCTAAGTTCGAAGAGAGAGGCGAGGATCTCGAAGAAATCATCCGAGGCGTCCAGGAACATTTCGACGACGAGTAACTCACTTCGGGGGCATGACTTACCACGATTCATACGAAGGAAAACTTGCCGAACTCGAGCGCCAGAAAGTTGGACGAGGCCCTCGAGGGCCGAACGGTCCCAGCTGCATGACGTTTTTGGACCGATGCAAATCTCCGAAGAAGGACTCGGCAAGGTCTAAGATCTCCTGGGGGTCCGTCGTCAGGACGCCTTGCTCGTTAAACATGGCCCCCTGCCAGGTCGGTGGCGGGACACTTCGGTCTGTGCGACCTTTGGAGAGAAGCCAGTCGCACTCGTACGCGAACTTAGTCTGCTGCATCTGGCGGCGGATCATAGACTCAGCCGTGCAGTAAAAGTGTCGAAGCTGCTGCGTCGTGGCAGCTCGTCGGAGAGATCTGACGGCCTCGAGGTGGGTACGGGTGATTTCGTCTTCTTCTTTCTCTGGCTTGGGGGGGGGTCTCCGGTTGCGTCGACGTCCGTGATCGGCGGCGGCGGTCGAAATGGCGTCAGCCAGAAAGCGTAACGAGGGAAGGGGGCGTCCATGGGCATCCGTACAGGGTCTGAATGGTTCCTCATCGGGCTCCAGTGGGGGCGTCGCGGGGGCGGGGGCAGGGAGCGGAGAGGTGGCGTGTTCGGACCGACGATGGCGGGGTCTCTTGCGGAGGGGGAGGCAGGCGGGGGGCGGGGTAGGGTCGGCCTCCAGCCGACGAGCGAAACACGGAGGAATCTTCCAGGTCGGTTCTTCCCCAGGAGGCGGCGTCCAGGAATCCGTCAGCTTGCCCCAGGGTTCTCGCGGCCAGTAGGAAGGCGTGTAACGTCGCGCACTGATTCGGGCGGGGTGGTTGGACCGCGGGTCCGCTCCTTCCTTGGCCAGTAGGTCGACCGCCGTGTTTCCTCTATCTTGAGAGTGACCTTTGCGCCACTCTGGCAAGCACACCTGATAGCGCCTGCAAACGTCCTGCCACAGCGCCAGCATGACGGACACCAGATTCAAATTAGATCGAGGCCGCCATCGTCCCCAGATTATCTGTTGGCAATATCGAGAGTCGAAGATCATCTTGATTTTGGCCTGAGGGGGGATCGCCCTGACGTTGTCGGGGAGGGAGTCCTGGAAAACCAACCACAGAAAGGCCTCAATGGGTGCCGTCAACTCTGCCGTGTTGTTCGACTCTCTACACGCTCCCACAAAGAGTGGGTCTTCAGGGCCAGTGCATACTGGTCCACATGCTGAGGCTAAAGGAGAGGAGCCTGCCGTCGGAGACGCCGAGGAAAAAATGCAAAGCCCCAACCAGCACATCCTCGGAGGTGATCACGCGCACGCTTCCGATACCTAGGTAGTGTGTCGTAGAAAGAGCCATCCAGGAAGAGTCCGACAGCCTCGTCGTCCCGAAAGAAACAGTGTACAGGACGATCGACCTCGAGGGCGTCGCCGAGAGCGTTTCGATAAGCCGTGATATCCGAACAAGTCCAGTTTATTGGTTTGGGAGGCGGAGGAGGGGAAGCCGCTGTCAGAGTCCAGTTACTGCTAGGATCGCGCACCCGCAGACGTAGATGTAGGGGGAGATGATCAGAGGTGGTAGCAGTAGAGAAATCAACCGTACAACTGACCGTGCCCGTAGGGAAGTGCCGTGTGAGAACGTAGTCTATCTGCTTGGGGTCTCTACGCTGCCCAGGATCAGGAATATGTGTGTGAACACCGTACTTGCACCAATGGTATGTATTTTCCGCCCGAAGATCTAGATCGCACATGGTAATGAATAACTCCTTGGCCTTCCAAGCTAACTTATCCAGAACAGGGGGTTCACCAGGAGAACGAGTATAGGGACCTATATGCTCAGCAAAGAGATCGGAGTCAGCGACCGAACCGAGGTGGGCGTTAGCATCAACGCCGATAATAACCTTAGTCTCATTCGGGACTGAGAGGACGTGCTGACGAATCTCGCGCAGGCTCTCCATCAAAAGAGCCCTATCCTTTGACGGGCGCAGATGGGCGGAGCCCACCAAGACACGATTGAATTCTGGATGCTTGCACAACGCGCCGACGTAGCGGGTGCCCTGGACCACGCTCAAAATCTTCCAGCCACAGTCTCGATGGACAACGATCGCATTCTGCCTGTCCTTGCCACTTGGGGGGACCACAATAAGGCGATGTCCTTCGATCTGCTCTGGAGGTTCTGCTCGGCGAAGGGCGAGGCATTCCTGTAAAAGCAACATGCACCATGGGAATTCTCTCTCGAGGTCGCGTAGAAAAAGTGGCAGCCCCTTCAGCGAGATCATTCTGACATTCCAGGAAAGAATACAGGAATGGTCGACCAATCGTCGCTGTCGCCATCTACGCATAGCAAGAGAAGTGCCGCCTCAGGGATCCGCCACAGCGTGGATCTCACCGAGGTGTGTCTGGAGCTTGAGGTCGATGTTCAGGTCCTGCAGCAACGCGTTCGCGGAGGGCGGGATCTTCATCTTGTGGGTGGTCCTGTCGCAATCGTACACTTTGATGGGGCCTCCCTGGTGGGCGTTCCCTGGCAACGACATCGGCAGGAAGATGACCTCCCCCCTGTCGTTCTTGATGTCGAAGGCTGCGTCCCAGTTGTGCTGCGGGCTGTTCGGGAAGATGGCTGCCAGGACTGGTTTGAGCTCCGCCACGGCCTTTACCTGCTGCTTGCTCACGCCGATCTCCCAGCCGACTTTGTCGATGTTGTGCCAAAGAGCCGTGCGACCTGCCTGGCGAAGGGAGCCACCATTGAACTTTCTGCCTTTCATCTTCTTGAGACATACCCACATCTGGTCTGAGCTGTAGAAATGTACTTTTACACGTTCACCATAAGAACCAGTACCCACGACGCGCTCGTAGAGGATGTTCTCCCTGTCGAGCTCGGACTTGATCTGTGCCACCAGCTTGTCGCTAGCGTCGTATTTGAAGCCACCAACACATATCGTTTTTCCTCTACCCATGGGAATGAACACTGCTGTGGATGCTGCCGAAATAGCCGCCGAGAGCGTCGTAGACAATGGTGTGTGCACTCCAGAGGCTGGGGTAGCTCCTCCGCCTCTCTGCTGCTGTCCACTCTCGTAAGCGTCCATGCGAGCCTCTAGGGCCTGCTGGCGGGAGCTGAGGGAACGGACCTCCACGGAGACCGACGTGACGTTCTTTTGAATCTCCTCGATTTTCACCGTCTGTACCTCAGTGGCGTCCTTGATCATGCCACCCATGGCACGAAGGAGACGGGCTTGACCCTCATCAAGGCCTTCTTGCACTGCATGACGGGAGGCTGCGGCAGCTGCGTCGAAAGGGGCGGAGAGCCGAGGCCTCTGCGCGGGAGGAGCGCCGAAGATGTCTCCGTCAATACCTATCGGCTCCATTGGATGATCACCACCACCACCACCAAATATTGCGGGCGACACTGGTTTGGTCAGGATGCAAAGGAGAGGGGCGATGCTCGCCAGTCGGATGCACTGGGAGCGGGTCAAAAGCGCGCGACCCCTCGTCATTCAGGACCTATCCTGAAGCACAATTGCTTGAGCCAAAATGGGATAGGACGACGACGAGGAGGGGGAGGAGGAGGAGGACGAGGACGAGGAGGAGGTGGAGGAGGAGGGCCAGGAGGAAGAGGCGGGGAGGAGGAGGAGGAGGAGGAGGAGGAGGAGGAGGAGGAGGAGGAGGAGGAGGAGGAGGAGGAGGAGGAGGAGCGAGGAGGGGGAGGAGGACTAGGAGGAGGAAGAGGAGGAGGAGGACGACGACGGCGACGGCGACGATGACAACGACGGCGGCGGCAGCGGACTCGGCGAGACCGGCCCCGGCGCAACCAGCGGGGCGAAACCAGCGGGGCGAAACCAGCGCCGGCGAAACCAGCGTCGGGCGAAACCAGCCACGGCGAAACCAGTCCCGGCGAAACCAGCCCGTGCCGCGGCCGCGGGGGGGGAGGGGGAGGATAGAGCACTCAGACGTGGAAGATTTGGTGATCGTTTTCTTATTCATTGTTTTGCCGATCGGCGCGGGCCCTCGCCCCACCCCCCCTCCCCCCTGGAGTGGAGCTTGGTTGTTATTTGGCGCCTGTTTCGAGCAGGTGCAGCCTCCCCCATAATGGACGCCCTGTTGCAAACAGTCGCTTTAAGCAGAGGTCTGGAGCCAGACCCCCCCCTTCCGCCCAATGTCGAAAGGCCGAATACAAAAACTTGTTTGTAGTCAACTCATCGGCTGCGGCTAGCCATGACGGCACGGCGTTTGCTGGCACCCACGGCTTATGTATGTTCAGGGCCGACGTCGCAAGCAGCTGCTACCCGCCTGTGCGAGGCGGCCCGCGGCGTCCCGCCGGCGCACCTCTCGTTCTACTCAGACGCGGGAGAGCTCCTCGTCGAGGCCCCGATTCCAAACACGTTGGCGTCGGCCTTGTCTTGGGTCGGGCATGTCCCCCTACAGGCAGATCCTGGGGGAGAGATCAGCGATGCTCCAAAAAGTACCCCCAGGATGCCCCAGCCTACTGAACACAAAAAATCGTCCCCTGACTATTGCTCGACTGCTCTTGAGTAGTCCTCTTGCAGAGGGACGCGCCCGACTTGGGCCGGGGGGCCTCCAGGGGAGAAGGAGGAGGAGGAGGAGGAGGAGGAGGAGGTGGAGGAGGAGGGAGGGAGGGAGGGAGGGAAGGACGAGGAGGAGGAGAAGGAGGAGGAGGAGTAGGAGGAGGAGAAGGAGGAGGAGGAGGAGGAGGAGGAGGACGCCCCCACCGCCGCTCGTCGACCCTGCGCCGGGGGACCCGCCACCGCCGCTCGTCGCTCCCGCCGGCCCGCGGCAAGGGTCCGCCGAGGGCGGGAGGGTCAGCTCGGCGGCCCCCTCGCGGGCGAAGGCCTGCTCGCAGCGACCTAATGCGGGATGACGAGTAGTAAAACAAATGGGAGAGGACGATTCAAAACATAGTTTTCTGCGATTTCTGCACAATTTTCTGACTGGGGGCGAACGATTTAAAAATAGTTTTCCAGCCCGCGGCCGTCTCTTTCTAATCGTCATCCCGGGCGCCGCCGCGTGAACACGACCCCCGGTCATCTATTAATCGTCATCCTCCATTACGTGGAGGGAGCGGCACGACTTGGAGTGGCAACGTCGGGGGTGGGGAGGGAGGTCAGCTCAACGTCGGGGGTCAGCTCGGCGACCCCATCGGGGGCGAAGGCCTGCTCGCAGCGACCCACGTGGAGGGAGCGGCACGACTTGGAGTGGCAACGTCGGGGGTGGGGAGGGAGGTCAGCTCAACGTCGAGGGTCAGCTCGGCGACCCCCTCGCGGGCGAAGGCCTGCTCGCAGCGACCCACGTGGAGGGAGCGGCACGACTTGGAGTGGCAACGTCGGGGGTGGGGAGGGAGGTCAGCTCAACGTCGAGGGTCAGACCGGCGACCCCCTCGCGGGCGAAGGCCTGCTCGCAGCGACCCACGTGGAGGCAGCGGCACGACCTGGAGTGGCAACGTCGGAGGTGGGGAGGGAGGTCAGCTCAACGTCGAGGGTCAGCTCGGCGACCCCCTCGCGGGCGAAGGCCTGCTCGCAGCGACCTACGTGAAGGGGGAGCGGCACGACCTGGAGTTGCAACGTCGGGGGTGGGGAGGGAGGTCAGCTCAACGTCGGGGGTGTGGCGGGAGGTCAGCTCAGCGACCCCCTCGCGGGCGAAGGCCTGCTCGCAGCGACCTACGTGGAGGGGGAGCGGCACGATTTGGAGTGGCAACGTCGGGGGTGGGGAGAGAGGTCAGCTCAGCGACCCCCTCGCGGGCGAAGGCCTGCTCGCAGCGACCTACGTGGAGGGGGAGCGGCACGATTTGAGTGGCAACGTCAAGGGGGGGGCGGTGGCAGCACCCCCTTTTGGCAAGACACCTTGCAATAGTAGGTCGGGCATGTCCTCCTAGCGGCGGATTTGGGGAGAAGAACGAAAAATAGCCACAACGTGCTCATAAGTACTCTAGAACGATCAATCATAAAAGAAAATCGTCCCCTGACTAATGCGAGATGACGACTAATTAAAAAAATGGGGGGGAACGATTCAAAAATAATCCCACCAGCCCTCTGGGCGTCGGTGGTTTAACGAGTTTCCTCTTCCACCCCTCCCTCTTCCCCTGCGGGGAGGGGTTTACCCCTCCCCCTACCCCCTCCCCACTGACCTGGACAGGAGGGGCGGGGAGCGGTCAGAGCGTCCAAAACGGCCTCGGCGAGGAAGCCAAAAACATTGATTTTACTATGGTTTTGGCCCCATTTTGGCCTTCTCAGGGGGCAACGCTAATTAAGGCTCCCCTCTTCTTTGATCGATTTCCTCCACGATGGCCGCAAGAGGCCCCCAGGATGCCCCAAGAGGCCGCAGGATGGCCCCAAGATGGCCCCAAGAGGCCCCCAAGAGGCCCCCAGGAGGCCTCCAAGAGACCCCCAAGGGGCCCCAAGATGGCCCCAAGAGGCCCCAAGAGGCCCCCAGGAGGCCCCAAAGAGGATCCCGAACGGCCCACAGAGACCCCCCCGAGGCACCCAAGACACCGAAAAGCCCCTCAGGACGACCCTCTACTCGCCTGGGCGTCGTTTCTGGACGGGCTGGTGGGGATACGCGAAGCGTCTAGAATTTCCGGCCATTTCTGCACAATTTTCTGACTGGAGGAGAACGATGAAAAGAAATAGTTTTCCAGCCCGCGGCCGGTTTTTTCTAAAAGTCATCCCGGGCGCCGCCGCGTGAACACGACCCCCGGTCATTTATTAATCGTCATCCTCCATTACTTGTCCTACTCTCTTCGAACACCCCTTCTGTAGAGGGGGACCAGCCCGACTCAACTCTGGTCAACAAAAAAACACGGAGCCGGACCCGGCGGTCGGGGCCCGCGAGAGACCTGCGGCCGCGACCACCCTCTCGCGAGCGGGACGAGCACGGGTCCCTGGCCGCCTCGGCAAGAGGTGTGTGGGCTCTCTGCCGCCCTCCGGCGAAGCCCGCCCTCTGCACACGAAATCCGGCGGGCTGCCGCCGCGGCGGTGCCGCCCCGCCCGGCTCTCTTGGGCGCCCGCCTCGTATCGGCGGGGAGCGAGGGGGGGAGGTGAGAAGGAGAGGGCCTCCTCAGAAGGCAGCGGGAGCTCCTGAGAGCCTCTGCCGCCTGCCGAGTTTTCTGCCTGTCTTCGGGGAAGGCTTAGGAAACTTCTCAGGAGGCGGGGAGACTTCCGAGCCTTACTTCCGAGCCTTCTGAGAAGGCCCGCCCGTTCTCACTTCCCCCACTCGCTCGCCGCCGATCGTACCCTGACCAACAACATCCCCTCTGCATCGCACATCTTCTGCTCGCGCAGCCGTCGCCAACAGACACCCTCTGCGCTGCCAGCTTCACGCTCCAAGCAACTGACTGAGAATGTGACTGCAGCGCCATGTAACAATACCCAACGCCAGACTCGCGTGCCCATGCCGGATGAGACGATGGTACCACACCACGCTGCGCAGACCAAAGCATGCCCGACGTGCGAACTTTCACGCACGAATTGCGTATGGTCCGCGACTTCGTCAATATGAAGTTCGGGAGCGGCCAAGAGGGGGGTGTCCACGAGGGGGGGTGCAAATCATGACCGGCGGCATGTGCGCGGCCCAGCGGGGGGGCCAGGGACGTAATGAAACAAGAAGAGGCGCCATGAAATCTGGGGAAATATCATGACCCGCGCCAAGATATCCCCCCCCCTAGTCATCACCCTCCTCTTTTCCGCCCCCGAGAAGTGCGCCCCAGATCAGAGGCTCCTTGGGGTACTCTTCCACATTGCCGGGCATCGGCACGTACAAGACAGGCAGGTAGCCCCTCCCCCATCGAGCACGCGCTGGGCTTCCCCTCGCCCCCTGACCTGCCTCACGAAAAGCACTCGCCACCATAGAACCAAGAGCTGACCTGCTCCCACTCCCGAGGGCCAACTCTGAAAAACTCGAGACTGCCCACTGCTTTTACATACGCCTGGTCGGACACGATCTATCACAAGGAGCCTGTCGACAGCCTGTTTCTGCAGTCTCTTCGCGAATAATTCCAAGCTCAAATGCGCCATCGTCGCCCGACTCAAACGCACAATGAGCCTGTCGACAGCCTGTTTCTGCAGCCTCTTCGCGAATGGTCCCAAGCTCAAATGCGCCATCGTCGCCGGACTCCAACGCAACACCACCATCGGCGCCTTTCACACAATGATGCTCCGACTGCGATCACCGACTGCACCTCCCTGAAAAAATGGTTGGATGCATGTGACACCCTCGCGCGCAGGGGGGCTGGAAAGGCAATGAAAGCTGGGAGCGTGCGTGCGGGACCCTACAGTCGAGGCGTTGATCTAAGGAACCCTAAATAAGGAACGAGGCCCCTATTTTCCATAAGTTGAACTTCGATCTCGTCTCGAAAACCTGAGGAACATCCAAGGCAAGCTGCGAAACACATAAGGAACACGGAGCCCCTCCCCAACGAAAAGGGTTCCTTCTTCAGGGCCCCGACTGTATGGCCGATCCCGCAGATCCTGAATCAAACGCTGCGAACGTCTCCTTTTCACTTCTACTTACCAGCCTCGAACGTATCCCTATCCCTGAGGTTGGCACGCCAGAAGGCGACGACAACCTTGGGGATTCGCTCTCAAAAAATAAGGGAATCCCTAAGATTGGCATCGTGACGAGGAGGTGCCCAGCATAGGGATAGGGATATGCTCCAGGCTGGTAAGTTGTGGATGCCATGACAGTGGACGCTCTAACAATCCGATCCTCGAACTAAACATGTGTTGAACAATGTGTAAAAATAATGTTCTAAACATGTGTCAGGCACGCTTGTTCTACATCGTTAAAACATGTTCCAGGCTGGTAATCTACCGCCTTCCTCCGACCGCTCCGCCGGCGGAGCCGCCCCCGCCTTGCCTCCGTCAGCCTCTGCCTGCCCCCCGCCGGCGAAGAGACGCCAGCCCGTCGACACGGCGAAGGGCGAGGCTCTGTCTCCAGCGCCCCAGATAATGCGGGATGACGATAAATTAAAAAAAAAAATGGGGAAGAACGATTAAAAATAGTTTTCTGCTATTTCTGCGCAATTTTCTGACTGGAGGAGAACGATTAAAAAAAATAGTTTTTCCTATCATAAGGGCGTGGCCACCCCATGGGGTCTGCGGAAACAGCGACAGCGCACAGATTAAACCGAGAGACGAGGGATCATCAATCTCTTTTCATCAGGCAAGCGCCGTGGGACACACGGTGGTACTCTAAAGAATCGAGCCGGGGAAGTGGGACCACTTCGGCGGCTAAGTGCAATCACCAAAAATTGCCACACACAGCCATTACATTTGCGGTGTGTGGGGGTCGGTGGGTGGGAGCTTGAGCAGGAGCGGTTTCGGAGCAGAGGGAGAGAGCAACAGCAGGAGCAGCGAACGAGACGGACGCGGCTCCACTGCTCTGAAACTCCCGAGGCCACTCGCACTTAGGAAAACGAGTCAGAGACAAATCATTCCTATCATAAGGGCGTGGCCACCCCATGGGGTCTGCGGAAACAGCGACAGCGCACAGATTAAACCGAGAGACGAGGGATCATCAATCTCTTTTCATCAGGCAAGCGCCGTGGGACACACGGTGGTACTCTAAAGAATCGAGCCGGGGAAGTGGGACCACTTCGGCGGCTAAGTGCAATCACCAAAAATTGCCACACACAGCCATTACATTTGCGTCCCATCCCCATCGTCAAATGCCCTTGGGAGGGCGGGTGGGTTAAATCATTATCCCCGCTTTGGTCCGAGGCTGGGGCGAAGAGACAAGACTAGGCGGCACACACGCGCCTGAGGATGTCACGAACCGTTGAGTCAGTAAAACGGGCAGCTGACAATTCTGCGGTTCGGTGAGCTTCGACATCTGACGAAGGGCGTACTCGTGCTTTTCATCAATACGAACACTCACTCAGGCGCGCCAGCACTGGCGCTGCCGGATGGCCTTGTTCGATCGAATACGGTTCAGAGCGTCGTGCGAGGGCCCTTCGTGGCGCAACTAGTGAGGGACTGACAGGAGATCACCAACTCCTGCTGAGTGGGCGGCCTGCTTCAAAGTCTTTTCAAACAGAGAAAGGGAGAAAGATTGAACAGAGTTGGCAGCTTCGGGCGTCTAGCACGGGCTCAGCCTATGAAGAATTTCGAGAAAAAAATCGGCGAACAGGCAAGTCAGTGCCGGCCTTCATTGTGCAGACGAAATCTCGTTTTTGGCTGGCTTGTCGTTGCAGGTCACTCCGCGCGTACAACCTTACTCTTCCTCGCGACGTGCTCACTATCTTGCTCGGCGCTAATGTGCTGCTGCCGCGCGAACTGTTTCGTGCGCGCTGCGAACGTCAACAGCCTCTTCACCCGTTTCGATTTATCTGCCACATCTTTCGCTGTGATGCTTCGCTGATCACGGCTTCCACACACTACTCTTGCTCCTTTCGTCTTCCAGTGCTCCTCCACTTGGTTGCGGGTCGAAAGGCCGACCTCCCAGAAGGACACCCCGCACCCGGGTGCACAGCACGCAAAGCGCTCGCAAAACACGCCCCAGACCACCGGCATCACGCAAACATTTGGACCCCCTACGTATCTGCCACCACCCGCGCGCGACACCGCACCCTCACACAAGACGCCGCTGGCCAGAAACTCCTGGCCTCGCAACACTCACAGAAGGGGTCGGCGGATGTGGCGTAAGCCTGTAGAGTCTCGTTTTTGGCTGGCTTGTCGTTGCAGGTCAGTTGGACGGCCTCACACTGCGGCGGCCCTCGCGGCGTAGTCGGGAGCTTTGCCGCCCAGCCAGTCAGAGCATCTTTGGCTTTATGGAACCGAGGTCGTCCAGCAGACCATCTTTGAACTTTGCAGAGCCCATGCAGCGTTCTCGAGTCAAGTACTGGGCCCACCTCCAAAGAACGAGTCTTCGAAGCACAAGTCGAGCGTCTCGTTTGTGAGCTCCGGCGTGGTCAGCAGCAGGCTCCGGCGATTGGCGTAGTCGGTCAGCCCGATCACGGCGGAAGTGTAGCTGTCGACTGTGGATGGCTGCAGCGAGGCCAGGCGGAGGTACTCCCCCCGGGTTGGCTTGCCGCTGACTGGCAGCGACGTCTCCACGCGCGGCAGCCTGCGCTCGGCGGCGCCGGGCGGCCACGGCCACTGGACGGGGGACAGGGTCACGTTGGCCTCGGCCTGCGCGCCTGGGCACCAGCACGGCTGAGTCGACGCCTGCCTCGACAGATGCCCGGCGGGCGTCGACGCCGGGCATTGCCCGCGGCTGCCAGTACGACCGCGGCTGCGCCGGCGCTGGTGCAACCGCCACGTCAGCGGCTGCGTGGGCGCGGGTCGAGCGCGGTGGCCCACCCTGGCCTCCAGGGGAGCCGAAAGCGCTGCGGGCAGATCGGCGCCGAGACTCCGCGAGGCTCGGCGACCCCGGCCGTGCTTGCCAGCGCGTGAGCCCAAGCCTGGAGGTCATCCTGGGTCGAGCGCCCGAAAGCACTCTGAGGGGCGTCTGGGCCAGCCAACGAGACCAGCAGGCGGCACCAGCTGGGTAGGTAAGCACCGGCCAAAGTCGTACGCCACGTCCAACCTCGCGTCGGATGTCGGACCTTGCCTTGCAGCTCGACCCTGTGGCGACCAGCACAGCAGCAGCGCAGTGCAAGATGACCCAGCCCAGGAAGGCTCCCGGCGATCGCACCTGGCTTCTTGAAGGGCGCGCCAAACCTGCACGAGTCAAACAGCACCTTCGGCCAGGCAAGGCGCTGCAGCTCGCGCTGCAACGCGGGCCACTTCCAGACTCGGCTCGCAGGCGGGTTCTCGAAGGTGACGAAGATCCCGAGGGTCCGGCAGAGCCGTAAGGCACGGACTGTGAACGCCACGAGCGCGCGGTCTGCCGGCAATGGATCGCGGGTGCCCCCAACGGGCACCCACCTCGTACAAGGCAGCCCCAGGTGGACCCACCAGACTTCTCCTGACTTGAGCCAATGTTCAACAAGACGTTGGACTCGACGGCTCGTGAGGTCACAGTGGGGCCCATACTTGGAGTCCATCGGGGGCATGATCCGAAAACCTCGCTCATGCAACGCACCACTGAGATTTGCAGTACCCGCGAAGATCTCGAGGAAGGCTTTACGAAGGGGACCCCGTCGCGGAACTTCAGGAGGCCGAGGGCGCTTAGCCGGTGCCCGTTGAGGCTCTTCGTGTGGCCCAAGGTGTACAGGTGGGCCCTGTTGAAGAACTTCAGGAGGCCGAGGGCGCTCAGGAGGGTCCGGTTGAGGACCTTCGCGTGTTCCAAGATGTACACGTGGGCCCCGTAGAAGAACTCCAGGAGGCTCGAGTGCAGCAGGGAGGCATCGAACATGCTCAGGTTGGTCTTGTCGGGGTCGGTCGTTGGGGCGTGCTTTCGAAACTTCATCTTGATGCCTTTTACTCTGGTGCGAAGAAGAATGCGTGGTAGAGAAGAGCTGAGATGACAAAGGTGACGGAATGCAGCAGTCTCTTTCGGTGTTTTCAGGCCCCAGCGACTCGGCCTGCTCTCGTCCGATCTGAAACTCGATGACCGCGGTCGGCGGGGCCTCGGCCCTGCCCGCGGCGGGCGGGACCACGGGAGTACGGCGGCAGCCGCTGGTGGGCGTCGACAGGGCGCCTCGTCCGCGGTAGCGTCCCGCGAGGAGCTCCCCACGGTCGGCCGCCCGGCTCCCGTGGTCCGCGACGTTGTGCATGCCTGGCACGTGCCTCGGGCGCCAGCGGATCTCGCACCCGAGGCAGACAGCCGCAGCCCGGCGGCACTGCGCCAGGAGCTCAAAATTGGTGGCCCTGCCCTTCTCAAAGGCGAGGACCGACGACATGTTGTCGCACAGGCTGAGGATCTCCTTCCCGTGGAAGTTGACGTCGCCTGCCGCCCTCCATAGCGGTGCGACGGCGGCGCGCGCCTCGAGGGCGTGGATACGTCCCGGTCGGCGCCACGCGCCACGGCGGCGCTCCACCCAGCGGCCAGCGTCCAGCAGAGCGGCCGCCAGCGGCTCGGGCGGGACTCCGATCTCCAGCTCGACCCGGCGCCTCTTCGCCATGGCGTGCCGCAGCCGGGGCGGCACCTCGACGGGCAGCGGCCCGGAGATGTCGCAAAAGCCGGCGGCCCGCCCTTCGTAATGCTCGTCGTCGGGCGCGACCTCGGGCTCGGTGGCAACGAACCGCTGGCGCTCGCGCCATCTGGTGGCCGCCAGTACCTCCCGCGGCTCCAGTCGGGCTTCACAGACGGCGTAGCCTCGCAGCGAGCTGTCGGTCGTGAAGGCGACGTCGGACGGCACGCGGCACAGGTCCACCTCGCCGAGGAAGACGAGGCCTGCAGCCACTGCGAGCTCACCGAGAACATCTCCAGGCAAGCGCACGACAGGGGACAGGTCGCCGTCTCCGATGAACGTGTAGCAGGACCCCAGCACGCTGAGCCCGGGGCGCACGACGGAAAAGTAGTGGACCAGGTGGCCGACGATCCGCCGTAGCTGCCAGCGGGCGAGCCATGGCGTCCGAAGCACGTGGTGCAGAGCCAGGTAGAGTCTCCAGGCACGCTTGGCAGTATGCCTGAGTCGGCCCTCGCGCCCGTCGAGCACCAGCCCCAAAATGACAAGGCCGGGCTGCGCGCGCTCGAGCTCGTGCCAGCGAAGCCCACGACGATCCAATTCAGCAGTGAGCTTGTCCAGCCGGTCGTTGAGAGCCGGCGCGCTGAGCGCGACAAGATTCCCGTTGTCGACGTACGGCGCCCTGACGACAGCCTGTCCGACGAGGGTCGGCGCACGGGCTTTGTCAAGGCACCAGCCGTCGCCTGGGAGGCCCGCCTCGTCCATCGCGTCGACGAGAACCTCGTGGCAGATCCAGGGCGCCCAGCTCCAGCCCATGGGCAACGCCGCGAAGCAGGGCCAGATGACGTCGTCGCCTGACACAGCCACGCGCCGCCCGAGCTTCTCGTCGTAGATCGAGTCGAGCCCGAGCTCGTCGGCGGTGACCTCCACGTCGAAGCACATCCAGCTTCCCCACGAGGGGTCGGCGAACTGGTAGAACCCGTCCATGAGGTCCACGGAGCCTGCGCAGAGCGACTCGTAGCAGCCATCGAAATCCGCCAAGTCCTCGGGGCTCGCACCGACGGCGTCGAGCAAGTTGATCGAGCCCAGCGCCTCACCGAGTGCCAGCACAGTCCGAGGGGGGAGCTTGTGCAGCTGGTTGGGCTGACGAGCGCCCACGACCATGCGGATGTCGCCGTTCTTCTTGGCCACGAAGAAGGTACTGACGCACGCCTTCTGACGCGCCCGGCCATCCACCAAGCCCCGTGCAGCAAGTCGTCGAAGGAAGTCGACGAGGCGTGGTCGGTTCCGAGGGTCGCGCGGGTTGAGGAGAGGATCCCAGTAGGGCTCCACGATGACCTCGTCCTCGGGGATGCTCGGCGTGGGCCGAACGACGTCCGAGTTGAAGTGGTCCAGCGCCTCGGTGACGTGCCGAGGGGCGACGTCTCGAAGCTGACGAGGCCGGTCATGTGGCGCACGTCGTAACACATTGAGCTTGTCAGCATCATAGTCGCGGCGAGTAGAAGCCTCGCCCATGTTCGAGTACAGATCCTTGCACTTGAGGAGCTCCTGCAGGGCTCCAGCACAGTCCATGTCTTTCGGTCGGTCGCCGAAGCCGCGAACACGACGTCGGACTCGCTTGATGACCGACTCCTGGGCGGTAGTCGGCCGATGCTTGCCGGGCGCTCGAGGCTCGAGACGACCCCCAGCCCGTGCGCCTGCCAGCGCGTTGAGCGCCCCCAGAGCCTCGAGAGACCTCCGATCACGGTCGTCAGCACGAGCAGCACGCTGGGCCAGATACCGAGGCAGAGCGGCACGTTCTCCACGATGAGGGTGGCGATAGAACTCGTCCCCCTGCGGCAGAGGAAACAAAACTGTGGACGAAGTCCGACCCTCGGAGGAGACCCCCTCGGAGGGCAGCCCGGCCCGACTCGCATTCGCGGCTGCGGAGTCGGGGCCAGGCCCAGTGAGGCCGGGCGGAGCGCCCAGCCATGATGGCGCCGGCATGGCGCCGTCAGCCCTGATCCTTCACGGCGGCCTTGGGCATCGGCTTCACCTTGCCCTTCGGGTCCGCCCTGGGGTCCCTCTCCCTGTCGCCGCCCTGCCTCTCGTACTTCTTCGCCTCCGACACCTGCTCCACCCGGTACATCCGTTCCTCCTTCAGAATGATGCCCTGCGCCTTCTGCTCCTTGGCCACGAACGCGTCGAACTTCGACGTCACGGCGCCTCTGCTCTCGTCCAAGGAGCTGATCAGCGTCAGGTCGAGGCCCTCGAAGCTCAGGTGGCGCGGGCACCTCTTCACCGCCCGCTGGATCTGCAGCACCCGGCGCCCCAGGAGCTCCAGAGACGCCAGGTTCGACGGGTCCACGAGGTCGTAGGTCGCGGCGTGGTGCAGCTGGTTCAACGCGTGCCGCACCTCCTGGGCCACCACGGCGTTCCGCGACACACGTGACTCCGAGACCCAGTACCCCCAGTAGGAAGTGAGGGTCAGCCCCGTGACAAGGATGGCGGCCAGCAGCTCGGGCAGGGCCCTCGACCCCCAGGACGGCCAGTCGCCAAAGTCGACCGCGTTCATCCTCGCGATCGCCTCCCCGAGCGTCACCTGGCCCCCGCGAGCCCGCCGCGCCAGCGGGAGGATCCCCGGGTCGCGCCCCGGGCCTCGGCGCTTCTCCCCGCGCCGGCCCTCCTCGTCGGCCTGCTGTACGCTCTCGACCGAGACCCACCCCTCCTCCTCGCTGAGCAACGCAATGCCCACAGCGTCGCGACTGATCAGCCGCTCCGGGTTCCCGATGAGGTGGAGGTCCAGCCCGCGCCGGAACTCGGGCGAGCCTGGGTCCGAGACGATCCAGCGCGGCACGACGCCGCCAGCAGCCCCAACCGGGGCAGAGACGCCCATGGCCGGGGCGAGGCCGCGCGCCTCCTCCCGCAGCGCCTCGATGTCCTCGTTCGACTGATCGCCGAACGCGTAGACCTGCCCCCGAACCCAGGCCGGGAACGGGGACGCCCGGCGTAGGGGGTCGACCAGGTGCTTGCTGAGGTCCAGCGTCAGCACCTCGCCATCGGGAGTCGCCGGCACCCAGACGCCAGGGCAGAGCTGCTTGAGGAGCTCCCTGTGGTGCCTCCGAAGGTTCTCGTCGTCGTCGTAGCTCGCGCACACCTGAGGCTCGGCCGCGTCGGGCGCATGCATCGCCGCCGCCACCATCTCGCCAACGGCCGACGATCAGGCTACGCCCGCACTGCCCGGAAGCGGCGCTGAGCGCCGCCGTCCTGGCCCGCTCCGTCGTCCTCGACGAGCAGGCCCACGGGCGCCGCACCCTCGCGCCGCGGCAGGTCGGTCCTCCCGACGCAGAGCGAGGCGGCCCGGGCGGCCCAGCCCAGCACCACGCGGAGGCTGCCTCCGCCCGCGAGGCCAGCGGCCAGGGCGGCCAGGACCGCCCACCAGCCTGGCCCGGTCCCGCAGGTCAAGCTGCAGCCCGGGCAGCTCGGGCAGCCCGGGCAGGGGGCGGCGGCCGCCGCTGGAGGGCACACAGGGCAGGCCCCGCACGTCACGCGGGCCTCCGGGCACGCGGGACAGCGCGAGAGCCACGCGGTCGCGATGGAGGCCGCCCAAGGGCCGGCTGCGGCCCACGGCACCACCATGCACTGCCGGGGGCCCCACGAATGATAGAGCTTGAGCAGGAGCGGTTTCGGAGCAGAGGGAGAGAGCAACAGCAGGAGCAGCGAACGAGACGGACGCGGCTCCACTGCTCTGAAACTCCCGAGGCCACTCGCACTTAGGAAAACGAGTCAGAGACAAATCATCCAGCCCGCGGCCGGTTTTTTCTAATCGTCATCCCGGGCGCCGCCGCGTGAACACGACCCCAGGTCATTTATTAATCGTCATCCTCCATTAGGCGGGATCCCGTGGCTGACAACGGCCAGACTTCGGCGAGCAGGCCCAAGGATTTCCGCCACAAGTAAGGAGCTTCGGCACCGTCCGAGAGATTCGCAGCAGCTCTGGCCACGGCCACCCTGTGCAGAATGGCGCGAAGAGACGGCTCTGCTGCCAACGCCCGCTGTGGTGGCATGTCGCCCTGCGAAATCAAGGCGGAGCGTGGCTAAGCACCGTCTGCCTGACTGGCTCGACAGTGCACGGCAGCTTTGTGGAGTTCAAAAAATGCCGATACCGCTACTCCCCAACCCTCTCCCAGAGTGCGTTCTGATCAGAATTTGAATTTGGAAGCGAATCCATCGGTGGCGACGAGGACTTCCCTGGAGGCCGAAGAAGGGGAGAATATGGGTACCTGTTCCCTCTATGAGATCGTGCACGGCAGCTCTGGCCCAACGCCTGCGACAACGGCAGGATGAACACTGCACGTCGCATGGGCGCAGGCGGTCTTGGCAGCGGGGGCGGAAGCGCGGTGATGCGAGTTACTCTTGCATGGTGCCGCGGTAAGTCGGACCGGCGCTCGAAAGGAATCGGATCTTGCTCCCGAACATCTGCACCCTGCACGACAAACCCCACTGATTGCCACGGCGCGCCACGAAAGTTGCGCCCCATAGTGTCAGCTTGTGATTGACAAATCTGTGGGGGGCGCTTGTTTAAACAAATCATTCCCCTGCTAGGGCGACTTGGGGGGTGGCGCACGCCAGATTGAAAATCAACGGGGCGGCGCTGGTGATTAGCGCCGACGCCCCGGTCGCCAACGAGAAGGCGACAGACAGCACAGGCTGGGGGAAGGGAGCGGGGGCGGGAGGCAAAGGCGGCAGAAGCAGGGACCGTGAGCCAGCTGAGAGAAACGGGTCCTGGACCCCAGGGCCTTGCCTCAAGACGAGATCATCGTCCTGAGTCGCTCTCCGACGGTCCCCGACGGCCCGCGGCCGGCCCCGCGACGGCCCGAGCGCGGCGAAAAACCTCGGGCCCCGTTTCCCTCGGGACCCGCTTCCCCCCCCTGCGGCGATTCTCGCCCACGACCTCGAAAGGCAGGGCACGCGCAGCAGCGCCACTTTCCCAGGGGGGGATGCACGGTTTCCCCCGGGGCCGTAGGCGACCCGAGGAGGAGGAGGAGGAGGAGGAGGAGGAGGAGGAGGAGGAGGAGGAGGTGGAGGTGGATGAGGTGGAAGAGGTGGAGGAGGGGGGGGGGAGGGGGATGGAGAGCAGATGGAGGAGGAGGGAGGAGGTGGAGAGGAGGGAAGGAGGAGAGAGGAAGGAGGAGGATGATGATGAGGAGGAGGAGGAGGAGGATAAGACGCTGATGGACGCGGCCGCGCGTCGCACAGGCCGGCACTAAGGAGGAGGAGGAGGAGGAGGGGGAGGAGGAGAAGGAGGAGGATGATGATGAGGAGGAGGAGGAGGTGGAGGAGGTGGAGGAGGAGGAAGTGGAGGGAGGAGGGAGGAGGACGGGTCGCCTGAGCCCTTCGGAGAAACCCTCCACGGGGGGGGGGGGGCGCGAGGATCGCCCCTGCGCCGGCAGCCGGAGACGTGTGCGGAGGTCCAGGCCCCGGGAGGGGCGGCCGGTCCTCGCGCGCAGGAGCGCGCACCAGCAGCTCGCAGGGCGACGCTGCTCGCTCGAGGTCGCGCTGCTCGCGCTGCTCATCATCGTCATCATCATCGTCATCGTCATCGTCATCGTCATCATCATCATCATCATCATCATCATCATCATCATCATCATCATCATCATCATCATCAGCATCAGCATCAGCATCGTCATCATCATCGTCATAGTCATCGTCATCATCATCATTATCATCGTCATCATCATCATAATCATCATCATCATCATCATCATCATCATACTCATCATCATCATCATCATCATCACCACCATCGTCATCATCATCAGCAGCATCAGCATCCTCATCATAATCAGCATAATCATCAGCAGCATCAGCATCCTCATCATCATCCTCATCAGCATCATCATCATCATCATCATCATCATCATCAGCAGCATCAGCATCCTCATCATAATCAGCATAATCATCAGCAGCATCAGCATCCTCATCATCATCCTCATCAGCATCATCATCATCATCAGCAGCATCAGCATCCTCATCATCATCAGCAGCAGCAGCAGCAGCATCATCATCATCATCATCATCATCATCATCATCATCATCATCATCATCATCATCATCATCATCATCATCATCATCATCGCCAGCGTCATCATCATCATCATCATCATCATCATCATCATCATCATCATCATCATCATCATCGTCATCGTCATCATCATCGTCATCATCATCAGCAGCATTTTCATCATAATCCTCCTCATCATCATCGCGCAGGGCTCGCCCGAGGTCGCGCTGCTCGCAGGGCGACGCTGGAGGGGGCCCAGGGACCCACAAAAGACCCAGACATCGGGCGCCTCGAAGAAAATCGAGACGGAGGCTGTTCGTCGTTTTCGGCCTCTCGGGGCCCTCGCCGGGCCTCGGGACCGTCAAAAAACGACTCGTCGGGGTGAAAAACCGGTCCCGGGGAAGTGGTCGGGAGGTCGGGGGCCCGTGTCTCGAAAAAATCGAGACGTCGGACGTCTGGGTACACCAAAGGAAAACCCCAACCAGTGGATTGTTTGAACTGGGATCGATCAAAAGATCGATAGGGAGATCGACCTGGAACCCGGGAACCCGGGAACCCGGAACCCACCGAAATCGGCCCGGAACCAATAACCATAAGGGGAAAGCAAACCAACCTCGCTTTTGACCACCCTCGCTTCCAAGAGATACCAAACGATGCCAAACTACGGCCTGTACTGGTCAGGCCGCTTGACGAGGAGGCGCGTGGTATGACTTGGTTTTTCCTGGAAACGAAAGCGGGGTAGGTAAGTCACGCTCTGAAGCCAGGAACCCGGGAACCCAGAAACGGGAACCCGGGAACCCAGCCGGCCACCAAAATCGGCGGGAAACGTTCGCCAAATCTTTCAATATCCGCTGGGACCCCTTCAGAGCAAGCATGGATTAGAGAATACATGCGCACAACTCACAAGATTCCCCATGTTTTCCCCTATTTTCTGGGTGCTCGTCCTCCCCACTTTCTCAGCTTCCCCTATTTTCCTGGGAGTCGCCGATGAATTGTGCCTGTGTGCTTTTGAAGGGGCCCTGGGACACACAAATAAATACTGTACACACAAATAAAAAGATCCCCCACGTAGTTTGCCAACAAAATTCTGGGCTTCTGTCTCCCCCCCACTTCCCATATCTTCGCATATCTTCTGGGGAATGGACGATTAATTGTGTCCGTGTGTTTTTTCCCCTCCTGATTCCTTAGCTTCCCCTCTTTTCCTGGGGGTCGCCGGCGAATCGTGTCGGTGTGAGTTTTTCCCCTCCCGAGAGATGCGTGGCGCGGCGCGCGACCTGTGCGTGCGCGCCCGCCCGGCTGCTCATTTTCTGCGGGCGGCTCGTGTCGTGGCGGCCCCGGCGTTGGCTCCCGCCGCCGCGGGGATCGTTCGGCCTTGGACGCTCGGCCGCCTCCGAGTCGTCAGGCCCCCAGGCATCGGGCGCCTCGAACAAAATCGAGGCGCAAGCTTTTCGTCCTGTTCGGCCCCTCGGGGCCCTCGCCGGGCCTCGGGACCGTCAAACCCAGACCCCCGACGTAATGATTTTTTCATTACGTCGACCCCCAGAGGTCCCGACCCACTCCCCACGACCGGCTTGGCGTCCTGAGCCGTTTTTTGAGGCTCCCGAGGCCCGGTGAGGGCCCCCGGAGGCCGAAAATTAGGAAAAACCTCCCGTCATGATTTTTTCATTACTCGAGGGGTCTGGGGTGTTGGTGCCCATTTCCAAGCCTCCAACAAAATCCACCGAGTCTAGGCTGCCAGCGGCGTGCCACGTGGAGCGCCGGTGCCGGGCAGGGCCGCCGCCTGCCGAGACGACGCGAACTTATAACACACGGTGAGGGCTAGTTTCCACAAAAATGTCCCTTGAATATGTCGGGAGCGGCAAAGAGGGGGGTGTCCAAGAGGGGGGGGTGCAAATCATGACCGGCGGCATGTGCGCGGCCCAGCGGGGGGGCCAGGGACGTAATGAAATAAGAAGAGGCGCCATGAAATCTGGGGAAATATCATGGCCCCCGCCATGATATCCCCCCCCCCCCTAGTCATCACCCCCCTCTTTTCCGCTCCCGAAAATGAAAGCGGCAAAAAAACGGCGACCAGAAACGGCAACAAAACACGGCTCCAGGCTTGGAGCCGGAGCCGGAACGGGTCACAAAACGGCGACGGAACCAGTAACAAAAGCGGCGTCGGAACCGGCAACAAAAGCGGCGAAACGGAGCAGGTAACAAAAACGGCCCTGTCGTTTCCAGGGCCCACTAAGCCATGGGCCATGGGTCAGGGACCGTCCCAGACCCCCGACGTAATGATTTTTTCATTACGTCGACCCCCAGAGGTCCCGACCCTTTCCCCATGACCGGCTTTGCATCCTGAGTCGTTGTTTGACGCTCCCGAGGCCCGGTGAGGGCCCCCCGAGGCCGAAAATTAGGAAAAACCTCCCGTCATGATTTTTTCATTGCTCGAGGGGGTCTGGGGTTGGATAAGGGAGACAAGGTCTGGAAGCGGGCGGAACCCCCGTCGTGAATTTGACCGTGGACCTCACCGCCGCCCTCATGAGGTGAAGCAGCCTCCAGGGTCTGAGGCCTCTTTGGGCGCACTCCTTGACGAATGCCCCCGCCGTCACCCGTTGCCCTTCCCCTCCTCCTCCTCGTCCTACTTCTCATCCTCCTCCTCCTCCTCCTGCTCCTCCTCCTCCTCTTCCTCCTCCTCCTCCTCCTCCTCCTCCTCCTCCTCCTCCTCCTCCTCCTCCTCCCCCTCTTCCTGCCCCTCGCCTTCGGCCCCTTCCCTTGGCTGTGAGCGTTTGCGGTCCTGCTCCGAGATCCGCGGGGACACCGAAGCAAGAGTACTAGTCTTTCGTAGTTTCACCCTTGTGCGTGCGAGGGCGTCCACTGACCACTAGTGGCCAATGTGTAGCCTGGCGGACAGCAGAGCCGCCGGAAATGTACTACAGTGGACTGCTTCACCATCGTGCCAACGCACCTCTGACGTGCACGGTTCTCTTTCTCTCTCTCTCTCTCTCTCGCCTCGCGCCACTGCCCTGGGAAAGGGCAGCCCAGGCCTTGATAGCGAAGCGTGAGCATCTGCGCGCAAGTGGATGACCTAGACAAACCTCTCCAGAGCGAACGGCTTACCTTGAAGGGGCCCAGGGACACACAAGCAAATACACAAAAATCCCAGGGCACCCCATCTTTTTCCATATGTTATGGATGCTTGTCGTCCCCCCATCCACTTCCCATATTTTCCCATATTTCCTAGGAGTCGACGATTATTTGTGTCTGTGTCTTTCATTCCCACCTGATACTCAAAGGTCTCCAGATGGCTTCCGAGCAGATGGGTCTGGAGGATCATGCAGCATCGTCGGTGCATCGCCGATGCACAGTCGACGTCGGCGATGCATCGGCGCTGTCCACGTGTAACACATCGGGCCCCACATCGAGCCACATCGTCGATGCATCGGCGATGCGACACGATCCTCCGATCCCATCTATTCGGATCCCCAGCTGGGAGCCCTGGATTACCAATTGCCCACCCCCTGCGTAGCAAGCAGGGACCTCGAACGCCTTCTGCTGATGCCGGCAGCTCAACAGACAAAACTTGCTACGAGCCGCCCGAAACGTGTCGCTGGACACTGCGCCAATTCCCCGCTCTGCCACCTCCAGATGAGCCAAACACCAAGACCCAAACACGGTTTCATGCGCAGCAGCTGGGCACCGCAGTGCAACCCCGTGGAGCAGCAGAGCCTGGCCGAGGCCAAGCGTGATTGCGCCCACGAAGCATGCCACTGCGAGGGGCCTGATCGCCCACTCTCCGCCCAACGGCCTGCTCACGCCCATCCTGGCTGCCACCAGCGCTGCGGGCCAGTCGGCCGGGATGCACCACGTCGCGCGGAGAAGGCCCGGCACCATTCCTCTTGGGGGCCCCATCGCACCGTTCTGCTGCGTCGAGAGCTGCGCAGGCGACCGTGCCAGGCGGCGCGCGCGAGGCGGTGGAGAGCGAGCGGGGGCGGCCCTCCGAGGATGCCGGCGGCCTCTCGTGGGGAAGGGGCGGCTCTCAGAACCCGCAGGCTTCCACGAAGGCCTCGTGGAAGCAGGGGGGGGGGAGGCAAGAGGCCCCCTGGCTCCTCAGAGGCAGGCCTCGTCTCTCAGAGGGCCGCCCGTCTCGGCTGCGCGCGAGAGCGACCCTGGGCAAGAGCGGCCTCTGGTGCGCGGCTTTCGGGCAGCCGCGAGGGGGCCGAACACGAGCGCGCAAGACGCCACTGCCGCATCGCGCTCGGCGATCGAAGGGCCCCAGTGGGCCCGCACCAGAGGTCACTCCGGCGAAGGGTCATTCTTACCTGTATAGGGGGCCCCATGCGAACCCTACCCCTACCCCCCACGATTTCGGAGGGGAAGGGTGGGGTTCACTTCGTTCGGGAGCTCCCGAGCGAAGTGAACCCCACCCTCCCCCTCCGAAATCGTGGGGGCTAGGGGTAGGGTTCGCATGGGGCCCCCTACTGTAGCCCACCGTCCCGCATCCCGCGCAGCCCCCCTTGCGCGCCGCCGGCTCGGGGAGAGGGGCGGGCAGCTTCTCTCTAGATGGGCGCCCCCCTCGGCCGGGGGCCCCTCCCGTACGAGGTCAGCTCTTTGACCGCGAGCAGCATCAAGAATGTCGCCAGGGCCGCGCTGTGAGCGGCAACGAAGGAGGAGCGCCCGTTGAAGTAGTAGAGCATGGCTGCATACCTGCCGCGTCTGCTGGGCGGGCGCCCTTCTGGCCCGGGGGAGGAGGAGGAGGAGGAGGAGGAGGAGGAGGAGGAGGAGGAGGCGGAGGAGGAGGAGGAGGAGGAGGAGGAGGAGGAGGAAGAGGAGGAGGAGGAGGCGGAGGAGTCGTTCGCGCCTCGGGGACTCCTGGGCGTTTTGACATGGCGAGGTTCCCGAGCGCGCCTGCAAGCCGCTGCGAACCCCCCTCGAAAGCCCCCGGAAGAGCCCGAGAGGAGGCGCCCAAAGGCCCCCAGGAGACCCTCAAAGCGCCCCCGAGGAGGCCTTCAAGAGCCCTCCGAAGTAGCCCCGCGAGGGATCTCGGAGGCCTCTGGGCAACGACCCGAGGGTGGTGGCGTGGTTTTGACCATCACCCGCGAAGATTCCATGGCATGTGCTGGAACAAAACCTTTCGAACAAAGGATGCGGACACGTGTCCGCAAACCGAGGCCAGCACTGCCGATCTAGCGCTGGTTGATACCCCGTACGGCTACGAATTGCCACTACGGGTTGCGTGCTGTGGCCGTGTGTACCTACTACAACAACTACCAGTGCCACCAATGCTGCCACTACTACAAACTACTACAAAAAGGTATCCCAGTGCGACCCTACCTAGGAGTCGGAGCAGTTAGGAAAGCAATATCTACATCTACACCGACAGCTACATGTACATCTACACCTGCATCTACATCTACATCAACATCAACAGCGAGACTCACATCTACATCTACATCTACACCTACATCTACACCTACACCTACATCTACATCTACATATGTATATGCATCTACACCTACATCCACATCTACACCTACACCTACATCTACATCTACATCTACACTTTCGCATTGGTTGTGTTTTTGCTTTGCATTGCCTTTGCTTTTGCTCTTGCCTTTGCTTTTGCCTTTGCTTTTGCTAAGCTAAGCCAAGCTAAGCTAAGCTAAGCTAATCGAAGCTAAGCTGAGCTAAGATGAGATAAGCTAAGCTAAGCTACAGCTACAGCTACGCGAAGCTAAGATGAAGCTAAGCTAAGCTAAGCTAAGCTGAGCTAAGCTAAGCTAAGATGAGATAAGCAATGCTAAGCTAAGGGGACGCAACTGGGGAAACCGCCGGGCGGATGCCGGGGGAACCGCCCGGGGCGGGCAACACTGCCCGGCCCCTTTAAGCAAAGACGGTAAGAACCCTTCTAGGCAGAGCCTAGGTAGGGAACTATTCCCACACCACGATCATCACCACCACTAGTAGCGATACTCCTACCCATACTTCCACCACTTCTACTGATCCGATACGTCGAAGAACTGTTCGCACTTATCTGCCCACGCTTCACCCAACATGTATATCCCAAGCCCTCGATACCTGCCCTCTTCGCCTTGGATAGTACCACCGTGGGGCTAGACCGTCTTTGCCTACCACGTGTCGTTGGCGCGACCACTGAAACAGGGGAGGAAGGGAGGAGTGGAGGGACAATCGGGAGCGGCAAAGAGGGGGGTGCCCAAGAGGGGGGGTGCAAATCATGACCGGCGGCATGTGCGCGGCCCAGCGGGGGGGCCAGGGACGTAGTGAAATAAGAAGAGGCGCTATAGCATCTGGGGAAATATCATGGCCCCCGCCATGAGATCCAAACCCCCCTAGTCATCACCCCCCTCCTTTCCGCCCCCGAGACAAGAGGGAGGGAGAAGGGTGGAACACGACAGAAATTAGCAGGAGGGGGGTTGGGAGAGCAAAGTGACAGACGCCAGCCACGCGGGCGGGTCGGGCGGGCGGACCCTGCAAGGGCGTGTCGGGCGGGCAGGCCCACACAGCCGGGCCGAGCGGACGGGCCGCCGAAGCGCGTCACTCCTGCAGAAGCCGCGAGGAAGTCTCGAGCGATACAGTCGGGGCGT